GACATATCATTAAGTGGAGGGAGAGTTGATACCAATGCAGCATGAACTTAAAATCAAGTCAAACTACTTGTGTATTAATAAGGATGCCAAAAAACAATTGATACATGGATTGCGCCGAAAGGGGGTGCAAGGAGGTGGAGTCGTTACCATGTAGGTGGTTTTGGTACTTTTGTATCATTTCCCTCACCTTTCTACTCCTTCAGTACCCAGCAGAAACTTCAGGCCAGTTTTTGTGTCTTTCAAAGTCAGGGAGACCAGGATGTTTGCAATTAGATTGTAAGGAAAGTCTCTGCACAAAAGATCAGAAAGAAAACCTACATTTACAGACATATGTATTAAAAATAATATAATATAATTTCTCCATAAACAATAAAGTTCTAAAGCAGGATGAAAGCAGTCAGATATATCCACAGTTAAGATTCAAAAGCAGCACAACGTCAACCTGCAGATGATGGGGTGCGGTCTGGAGCTATCCTCCATCTCATCGCTCTGATCGGTCATGAGCAGCCAGGCTATGATGGTCTCCTTCAGGTTAGGTGATGGAGAGCCCTCTGTGACCCCCACACAGTCCCAGCCTGAGCTTGAGATGAGACTTTTAGGGACCGGGCACTTAAGCAGGGCATGAGCTAAACAGAGAGCAGCGCCCCTGTGGAAAGAGAAATAAAGGAGCTATTTAAATGCAAACACAAAAACACACATTTACTACAATGACACTGCTTCAGTATTAACAAAGATTACATTCATGGCGGAGACTCACTGAGACGGTTTACATGCTGAGCCAGAAAAGAGCTTCCAGAATTCTCTGTCCATATTGATCAATCCTCCCTGGACAATAGAGCTCAGCAGGTCCAGGCTGAGAGCTTCTGTCTGGGGTGAGCTGACCCCTCGCAGGGCCAGAGCCCACACCCGACCCCACAGCCTGCCCAGCTCTGTCCTGTGGACTTGGGCCCTCTCTGGGTAGCGGGCCTGGCACAAGGCCACCTCCCTCAGACAGCGCAGAACATACGGCCACCTCTCTCCTCTCCGCTGCTCTGCCAGGAGCGGGTACAACACAGACAGCAGTGGGACCAGCTCCTGACTGGGAACCATGGACGGGTACTTAGAGGTGAGCACTGCAGTGATCTGGAGCCTGAGAGGAGAGAATGAAAGAGGAATAGTTTTACATGATCCTTCATCTGGAGTGGGTACAGTCAGAGAAACAACACATTACTATTAAAATGTTCTTGTATTAATAATGTGTTGTGCTTTTCATACCATGGTATGACATCAAAGTCATTATGCTGAGGCTGCAGATGGTCTCGGAGGACTTCCCAGCCCAGCTCGATGCGGCGTCGCTTGCTGGCTGCTCCATGGGTGGGACTGCCCATGTGGGTGGCTCTGGCCTGGGTCACCTCCAAGACATGGGTGTCATTGTCCTCACTGAACAGCTACATGCAGATAAAAAATAATAATGTTGTCAAGACATTTAGATGAGCTAAATAACTATATGTTGTCATAAACATTAGCATACAAAAGCGTGTGCATGTATACTTGAGAGTTGATCTCCATTACCTGGTGGCAGATGTCAGCTGTGAGCTCAATGAGATTGTCTTTTACAGCTATGCGTCGGGTCCCTGTGACGTACTTCCCTCTGCTGCCTATATGGCTAATTTCTCTGATTAAGGCATCATACAGGTTGTAGAGCAGACTCCGCCACCGGGTCCAGTCCTCAGCATGAGCACCTTTAACAATTAGAGGGGGGACAACTAGTTATTGGTGGTTTGTTTGAGGACATGCCTGTGGTTTCAAATATTTTAGTTCATTAACTTTAAAGCATGAGTTTGCAATTGCCAACAATTTTCCAAAACAAACCCAGAGTTCAGCCACTGGTTTCCAATAATTTCTTGGTATAAAATAGAGGTGGTTTTTGATTGCAATGCAATTTACAAAGTTAACTTGAGACAGGTAATCCATTGCAACTCCTCTTTAGTCCACTTTATTTTATTTAACATTTTTGCCATAGTTACATTACTGTCACTCAATAACACAGTTGATCTTCTTAGTATCTTAACTTGGTGGTGCAATTTGAACTTTTTTAGACCTTTATGAAGAAAATTTAACACCTGTTTTACATCCCTACTAGCAAAAGAAAAAAATAAAGAAATATGAAGGATATCAAGGAAAATCTATATTGGTTTCATGTTGTCTTTGTTTTGTAGTTATGATCAATATATTTCGTTCCCAAAAACACATTTAAAAGCAAGACTGAAAAATGCAAACAAGTAACATTAACTTTTATTAATCCGATACATTTTTAAGACGATTATTGAATTTTGGACTTTGTAAGACTTTTTAAGAAATTTTTAAGACCCAGCAGACCTCCTGTAGTAACCCATTGTATTAATTGTATTAAAGAAAAAGGAGAGATCACTCTACCTGTATCCTGTGTCTTGGCTCCTTTGGGGTGGTGAGCACAAATCTGCAGGTTAAAGAACTCAACAATCTCCTCCTTGAGAGCCGCACTGGGCCTCATGTCCGCCCAGACATACAACATAGAAGGCAGAAGCTCCTCTCCAAGGTGACACACCCTCATCCGGCAGTTCATGGCAGCAGATCTCAAGAAGATGTTGAGAGCAGAGACGAGGTGCTCCAACACAGTCAAGTGTTTCTCCTGCCTAACGGGGTGACAGGAAAACAAGCATTTATTAACTAAAAGGTGCATATTATGTTAAGAATGGATTAAGATGGAGTCGGTTAAAGTCTTAACCTGGCATTTAGCAGTGCTTTGGAGAAGAAGCTGAACAGAGTCTTATTGAATCCTTCAGTCTGCATGCAGCAGCCCTGCACCACCGTGTGGATGACTCTGCTCACCAGGACATGGTTCATGGACTTGGATGAAGAGTTGAACAAGTGACAGTAGACATCCAAAAGAACTGAGGATCACAGAAATAAACAAGTGGATTCAGCAAAGTGATTAGGCAAGATGGTATTACAATGTCAGACACAGTAATAACATAACAACAAGTAAGCTTATATGAGTGTTAATGACATTTTGCTATATATCATTTATATAAATATCCCACTGACTCTGCCACTGCTGTGGAGTGATGTCACACCAGTACTTGCGTACAGACAGGATGTCCTTCACTAGGAGGCTGCTGTACTCGTCTCCAAAGGCCGAACAGCTGTATGAACTCTGCAGGACCTCCATCACATGTTTCAGCAGCTCACTGCACTTCAGGCGAGGCCCACCTGCAGAGAGAGAGACACACACACAATGACTGCAGTCCCTACATGTTCAAACCAACTGCTCTGAATTTCTGCTGTTTTCTACTCGGATAAAGTGAAATATGGGAAAGATATTAAACACACGTACGCTGTATTGTAACATTTAACTATTGGGGGTGCAAAGACAGTGCCCTTACGTTTGTTTGCGTAGCGAATGAAGTATTTAATCAAGCTGCACATTTCAGCCATCTTCTTCTGCCGTAAGGCCAGTGTAGTTGCCGTGACATTAGATTTACTTGATTGCATGCTTTCTGTCTCCTTCTGGACATAACGCTGCAGAAATCTGACACGGAGAAGAAAGAGAGGATACAAAACAGAAAGTGCTTATTTATCAAGGCAATTTTCTCTGACAGATAACTGAAACTAATGAAACTAAAACCCTTGATAAATTACCTAAATTAACACAGCAATTCCAAATATAGAAAGCAAAATTTCCATTTCATTACTAGGCATGTTGAGGTTCCTCTGGGAGTGATGCAAAGAAACAAATTGATGAAATGGAAAAAATTTTCCACAGTTTGCAAGCTTAAGTAAATATTTGCAAGAAGTTTGCATACAACCACACAGAGGCAAAACATGACTTCAATTACACAATATATCTTCATATGCCTGTTCTGTTGCAGAGGCAGACTACCTGAAAACAGCATCCCATGTGAGTTGCTTGGAGCCTTTAGCTTTAGGTCCGGAGGTACGATCCAACTCCTGCACAACCTCTGGAGTCCGAAGGAGCCGTCTGAAGTTCTCAGCTTCTTTCTGAAGGCGTGAAGAGAGAACGCGGCTGTCAAACTGTACAGGATTCATACTGCGCTCACTGGTTAACATCGGCTACAGCGAGGCAGAGGTGTAAATACATGTTTACATGAGGGTGTGATTACCTTCCTCTCTGTAGATTTGTCACTCTCCAGCCCCCTGCAGCAGGCCAGGAGATCATGCAGAACCAGACTCATTGTGCGTCACAGTGGAGGAGAGCAGACTATTCTACCTGCCAGGACAGGATGCTGACAAGAGAGCATGTTGTTATTCGCCCATGTTATTCCTACACTAGAATCACAAAGCATAGGTATCAGCTTTCTTCTCCAATGCACTCAGCTGACAAACTATTTAGATAAAATGACAGTTTAAGTAGATAAAAGATAACCAAACTCCTGCAAATGACTCTTTAATCACCCTGGCCTTGAAGACGAGCTACCTCAGTAAGACAACAGTGAGCTTGATGCACAAACACCCATTCAAACCTACTGTCAATGAGTCAAACATGCGACCTGAAGCCCTCAGCTGAACCACTGACCTCTGATGGATGTGCTGCTTGTAGTTACACAGCTGTCACACATGCAGCTGCAGAGATGTTTACTGTGTTACAGCCTGCTTCTGTGCTGCTCACAACTTTGCCATCTTGACACACGCACGGCACGCACACGTAGACCACGGGCCACGCAGGAAACTCCCGCCCCCGGAGCAGCAGTGCCGAGGTCCCATCACTTCCTGGTCGCGGCCGGAACGGAGCGTGTCCGGTAACTTTAGTGCCAGCGTTAAAACAAACGCACTGTGTCGACGGGAGCGCTCATATTAACGTGATAAATAGCACATAGCAGTAATGTTATATCTGTTATATTAACATACATGTACAGTGCAGCCTGTGGAGTGTAGTGGAGCTCGAGGTCTCGGATTGGACTACAACTACCAAGACTCCAATCGGAAGATCACTTTGACACTTCCGGGTTATACGTGCTTGAGTTCCCCGCCTTTTGAGTAAGCGGCAGTGTCCTCGGGACGTCGCCTTCACAACAATACCCTGACGGTTTCTAATTTGACGCCGTTTTAACGAGTTGCTGACAGACTTTTCCCGAACATGTAGCCGACGCTTCACTTTATATCGACCCACCGGCAGCCATGTTGTTACCGTCCGACGTCGCTCGGCTTGTTTTGGGTAAGTCAAGTATTGTCTGATGCAAAACAAAAGCTGTAGCTGTAGCGTTAGCCAGCGATGATACTTCACTATATATTTTTTTTTTTTTTGGTAACTATCGGTTTAACGTTGCTGTTTCTCTCTCTTGTTGCCCCCAAGGGTACCTCCAGGAAGAGGGACTGTCTGCCACAAGCCAAGCTTTCATTCATGAGAGCCCTAACCTCAGAGAGTATGCCGACCACACCATAGGAGATGGGACTATTCCTGCTTGTGTGTTTGTAAGTGTGTCTTTTGGTCTGACAGGCCCTCAAAGTGAGTGTCATGCGCATAAAGGTGCAAATTGCCTCTATGATTCATTTTTTATTTTGCCCCTCCACACAGTCTATCTTTGGAAAAGGCCTAACAACCATCTTAAATGAGTATGTGGCGACCAAAACAAAAGGTGAGCTCATCTGACTATGTTCCCATTACAAAATGCACCATTATTAATATATTCTTATTCATGCTTGTTGTTGTTGTTGTTGTTGGTAAAAAATGTAGCTTTTCTTGTCAACAGAGTCTTGTCATGAGGTTCCTGCTGTGATGACTTCGTTGTGGAAAAAACTGGATTTTACACTCAACCAGATAAAGTAATCAGCTTTGAGTTTCATCATTTAAATCACTGCAGCTGTTTTTTTAAGGGAAATGTCTGTATTTTTCAAACTGGACCCTATTTTCCCTTGTTTGTGTGTTACAACCGTTTTTAGCAGTGTTATCCTTCAGGGCAATTACACACTGTTAATGTGCTCCACTCAAAGTGCTCGTCAGATTGTTATTGTAAGTGTCTGACAACATTATGAAAAGGACCCTACAGAGCTCGATCTTTATTTTATTTAAGCAGAAACAGCTGTTATATTCTTCTGTTCAAAGCCACCAGACTTGACAATACATAAGAGTTGCTGGTCCACCTCAGTCGATTAGTTAGTTTATGTTATTGTGTGAGTTTGGTGTTTTAACACGTTAGTTGGAACTGACCAAAGTCACACAATAACATAAACTAACCAACTACAGCAGCGATAGACCAGCAAGTTCCCCTTTAAGTTGAAACTCACCACACTGCCAGATCTCTGTTGGATTTACATCTTTAATGTTCTTTTATTCTTCTGTATCTGTCCTTAGGTCATTGCAGAACTCTCCTGCTATAACAGCAGCATGTCAAAGAAGTAAGTCTACTAGTTTTCTTAAGGGTTTATAGCAGTGATTCCTGTAACTTTTTATCCATAATTACCCATCAAGATTTTTGTGTGGGGTTTTCTGCCTTTCAAATGTCGGTGTGGAAATTAAACTATCAAACAATTGTAGATTCTGTTAGGATTTACAGCATGTGTGGCTGTACAGTACATCTGAAAAATAAATGTGGGAAACACTGTGGTTAACATGTTGAGTGTGCAAATTCTCAGCATTGCATACCCTTGACGCAGTAGTCAATGATTTAAGAAACTATATGAATTAGGATGTCTGAGTTCTGTGTTTGCTCAGGTTTTATACAAAGGCTTTTTATTTAACAGCCTCTTTCTATTGCAGCGCGTTCGCGAGTCGGAGTGGCAAACATGGCTCGGCAGCGGGTCTTGACCATGGCTTCGTCGAGCGCTGTCGTCTGCTCATCACTTTCTGAAACAAGCTCCATCATCAGCCCTGCGCTCACCTCCCACAGCATGCTCAGCCATTCCACCCCAGTGAGCTACACTGCCCCGCACACCAGACCAGGTACTGGCAGCGGCACACACCAGTTTCTAAATTCATCCAGTTAGGATCATGAAAGATGCAGTACTCTCTATCCTTTATTCTTTTTATTTATTGGGTGGTTGTGGTGTTTTGTTTTCACTTCTAAAAAAGGGCTAAAACAGTGTTCACTTTTAGTTTTCATGTGCACAGATGAAGAACTCAGACAGAGGGCTGCACAGTTAGTAAAAATATTATCTAACTCGCAATCTCGAAATCACAAAAGCTTTTTGATAAAAGTAAAATGTTTGACCAAACAGCATTATAAAAAGCCTTGCCCTCTAAATCTTGTTCTCCAGATGAAGGAAAACATGTTTGACTGGAACAGTTCCCAACAAAATCATCAGGACTTATATAGGTTTTTCAGAGGAAGTGAAAGAGAAAGTGAAAAGAAAGATTGTGAATTGTGACTCATATAAAGATTAAGACATCTGTTAAACTAATCACAGTATGATTTAGTTTTTTTTACCATATTGTACAGCCCTACTCATAGCTAATTGTGTATAATTGATAATGGCTTGAAAAAGTTTCCTTGTTGAAGCCCACAGCTTTCTTCATTTTGTGTGTCTTGAACAGCTTGAAGCTCTTTTAACTCCTTGTATTGTGGTATGCTTGTCATCAATCACAAGAACTTGCTTTTTTATAACGTGTGACATAATGTGTCCATTACAGCGGATTCACCTGTACAGATAATTGTTTCAGAACATCGGCTAAATCCAGGCCCAATGTCTCCCGGACGACGGAAATGGTAAGGACGATTATTATAGCCCATTAATGAGAGAGTGCACAGACTGACTCTGTGGCTTGAAAATGCTGCTTATTCAGCACATAAGTTGCAGAAGTAGATGTTAATAAATAGACTTTTTTCACAGTAAAAAAAAAGCAAAGGCGTAATAATGAAATGATGCATTAAACATTGTGGTTTAATACAATACGTCGTTTTGTGAAGTGTAATGTTTAATTGTGTTTCATGGCTTCATGTGTTGATTGATATATTGATGCTTTAGTTTGTGGTGTGTTTGTTGGAGATTGCACTTTATCACGCTCATTTTGTTTTGCCTATGTCTTGTCCATGTCGGCTGCCAAGTCTTTAATCTTTTCTGCTGCGTTCAGGGACACCCCCAGGAAGAGAGGTGGTGCAGTGAGTGGGTCCAGTGGCCTTGGCAGATGTGCCACAGCTGCCAGTAGCCTCAGTGCAGAACCCCAACCTGAGGAGAGCGTTGACGAGAACTTTCCTGTAAGAAGATCTGTTTTGTTTGGTGTTTGGTTTCCTTAATTTTTGATTAAGTGTGGTGAATGACAAGATTCATCTTTTTGGGAATAATGATTGATTGATACATTTGCCTTCACAACACATGCTAATCTCCACAGCAACTTGTGATACAAAATGCACGTGACAAGATATTGGGGGACAGGTCGTTACAGGAGAAGCTTGCTGAAAACATCAACAAAATCCTGGCCAGGTAAGTTCTGAGATGGAACTGCTTATGTCTCATTGTGTTGTTATGGTGGATGATTTGGTCATTGGCAATCAAAGTTGGTTGCAAGCATGTTATAACATTGCCGTACAATCTTCTCTGTTTTATTTCTAATATCAGTGATCCAGTGCCCCAAACATCAAAGACCTCTTCAAGTACAGTGGAGGCAGACCAGTCTATAGATGAAATCCTTGGATTACAGGTGCTGAAAAACAAATGCATGCTATAAATATTAATATATGACGTTATTTTTTCCTTTTTTCCCCTCAAAAATGTTCTTCATAAACATTTATCATGATCACTTTCTTTGTTGTTACATTATTTCCTGACATATATCCTTTGGTACAGGGGGAAATCCACATGAGTGACGATGCCATCCATGACATTTTGGAGCAAACAGAGTCTGACCCAGCTTTTCAGGCCCTCTATGACCTCTTCGATTACAGTAACTATGACCTGCTTTGCTTTTATTCAGCATGTTGTGCAGAGTACTTCTGAATCATAGTTTTCTCAATTGTGTATAAAAGCACAATGGAAAGTCATTCTATAACAGAAAATAATTTGTATTTGCAGATAAAACCAGATTCACTGATGGAGAACCAGGAGATGAAGTTATTAGCAGTAGTCCAGAAGAGAGTGACACTGCTGGACCTTCATCTGCTGTCAGACCCCTTCAGAGTGATGATCCAGGTATTCTTACAGGCTGTATTAAAAAGAAAAGACAGGTGTCGTCTTTGATAAGTGTCTTCCATCTCACATGTCAAGGCAGATTTCTTAAATTCAAACGTGGAAGGGAGGAAAACCTTCACGGAGGATGATGAAAATGGTGTAAGGCGATGGTTGAATAGAACTATTTTGTTCCACATTTTTAGAATTGTGCCAAATGGGAGATGTGATATTATTTAGATATGTGGATACCAGCACACATTTTCCAGCAGTCACTCCTAGAAGACGTTCATAGTGCAGCACTGGGACAGAAATGTGAAAAGAAAGAATGTGTAAAGAATAAAATAAGAGCTATGGTGAGAAGTTCAAACCTTGCTTACTTTCTTACCTCTGGCCAGTCAAGGCATGACCGTGTGTGAGTGTCGGATTTAAAGAAATGGTAGGATACCGCCCTCCAATCCGACGTCTGGAAGGTGTGTGTGTGGCAGGGGGTTTCCAAAGCTAGCTGAGCACCTGACGAGCACTTAAGCAGAGGCAACACTGGCAGCTTAATGGTTCACCAAATCAATTATTCAGTAAAATTTTGTTGTCAAATCAATAGTTTTTTCCAGTTAAAGGTTATTCTTAAATCAGTCACACAGATGTCATTTGTAACATCATATACATATGCAACATTATATATACTTAGCGCTTGCTCTTTGTCTAAATTTGTTGTTATTATTTCATGTCGGGATCAGGACAAACACTCACGAGCCGGTTTGTTCGGTTTGCAGACTCACCAGTTTGTTGACGAGTGCAGCAGTTGGCCAGCTATACCCTACTCTTTTACACAGAGAAATCGTGTGTGAATTTGTGTCATATACACATTGTAGATGAGGATTTTAAACAAAACATAAAAAAATGTAAAACCACTCCTGAGGACAGCGCTGCCTGAAATGCATGGGTACTAACAGATTAATCATCAAGTCTTCTGTTTTATTTTTTCAGGCACTACACACAAAGATGCTAATGTTTCGGTTACAACACCAATGACAGTAAAGATGAGAACTGGACAAGAGCGCAAGACCAGAAAGTCTGCCACTCCGACCTTGTTAAAGAAAACAGTTATTGGCCCCAGCGGCAGAGCGTCCAGAATTGAGAACAGTTCAGCCAGATTGTTAGTGAGTCATGGGGAGCACCGCAGTGTCTCATCTGCTTCAGGGGACTCGAACAGAAAAGAAAAAGCCTCGCTCTTCAATAACAGTGTTTTTGTAACACCAATGGATATTGACGAACCATTGAATACACCGCCCCCTCCTTCAGAAACTCAAGAGCCTGCCCCAGAGGACAGCACCTCCACCATGACTGCGCTCAGTGAATCAACTGCAGTTTCCTCATCAAGAGCCTCTGCTGTGTTTGCTTTGCCAGAATCAACATCGGCCTCTATTGTGGACAAAAAACAAGGATCTAAAGAACAACCTGTTAAAGCCCCCTCTTCATTACTGAGCAGTCAACCTGCTTTTTTGTCTCCTCTACAAGTTGAACTGAACAACACTCCGACGCCGACTGCCGGCCTACCTCAAATGTCAATTTCACGCAGTGGAGGAGACACTCAACCAGCGTTTATTGCCTCAGTAACGCCTGAAACCGCCTCCACCATATCTGCTGCACCTTTCACAGCAACACCTGGCCCACCCGCATCTACTTCCACCTCTGCAACGCTTCCAGCTACACCTGCCTCATCCACAGCCGCCTCACCTGCATCCTCCTCCTCTTGTGCCCCGGTTTGTGCAGCACCTGATCCTGCGACCACTAACAATACCGTCCCAAGCAAGGCCGCAGCTGATTCCAATATAGTTTCTTTGAAGATCATCATCAGCGATAACCAGGAAGAGGATTCTTCCTGTGACCCGGCCTTGACTCAGGCTATTTCTAGCATTTCTGTAGACAAGATCCCTACCATTTATCTTTCTTCTCCAGCTAAATCCCCTGCAGTCCCTGGCACACCAAAGACCAGTTTGGATGAGGCAGCACAGGCAGTTAGTGGATTACAAAGCTCTGAGGTATATGCTAGTCCTCTTGGCAGTAAGACTGCGGCTTTAATTGCATCCCCATTAACAGGAACATCACAAGCACAGCAAAACTACATAATTCAGCTACCCCTGGACACCAGTACACCTGCCCTTCAAGGAGCCACTGCAAGCTATTTCATTGTGACAGAACCCCCAACTACAGACCCTCAAACCAGACAGGTGCTACTGTCTGCTGGTGTCCCAAAGGGACAGCCGGTATCCACCACGCCAACTCACACTCAAGGCTACTCCACAGGTAAGTGACAACAGAATGCAGCGGTAGGTCTTCTTAATAGACAAAAGTTAATCCCCATACCAGTGTAGTATCACTGGCTGTTACAGCTTTTGATGTTTGGAGATGTTTTGTTTATTTTTGTTGTTCATTGCCTGCTGTCCACAAGCCCATTACTATTATCTTTATTAGAAAAATTCAAAACTATGTTTTTTGCATGCAGGGTCTGCACTCATCTTACCATCACCTGTTAAGTCCATGATGCTTCCTGTGTCTGTTATGGGGCAGAATACTCTGGGGAAGGTCCAGATGGTGTCCAATCAGGTAACATATCTGCCGTTCTTAGTCAAAAGGTGCTTCCGATCTTACCACTTTCACTACAATAGTAAGACAATTCCTGATCATTCTGGTGACCCTCCAACCTTTGATCTGCCTATTTATCTCTATTTTGGCCCTTGGAGGAAATTTCGTTGTCATGGAGCAACATTTTGGTCCTGAGATCTAATGGGTAGTTTACTAAGCACATGGTGCCCAAAGGATCACCTCGGTGTTGAAGATAACTTTGTGAGCTTTCCTCTTGCACTACACTCAGATCAAGTTGTAAAGAAAACAAGATGTTCAGTATAATGGCAACATTTATGCAATTTGTTTTCCAAAAGAATAGATTCAAATGTTGTCCATTGACCCTCATGTCCCACTCTCAGGACAGACATTGCATTTATAGTCTCATTAATGGTAAGGCTTCAGCAATAGCAAAATTGTAAGTATGTTTTTCAATCCATCCAAGACAATGAAAATTGCTGCCTATAGGGGCGCCCTTTGGCTGTAGGCTTGAAGCAATGTCCAGAACAATAAAACATTGTTTTATTTACAGCTTGTTGCCATACCAAACCCAGTTCCAGTACAGCAGTCAGAAACTTTCAAGCCCAAATCTCCCACAGTTAAACGGTCTACAACTGCTGGTAAGTTACAGGTTGACTTGAAGCTCGCTAGAGGTACAAAATGAATAATGTGAATATCATTTTACTGTGTGTTACCAAAGGATGTCCTCAGTGTTGCTCTGCTTAATTTTGAATATCACTGCTTCTGACCATATCTCTCTGAATTCCAGGCACTGAGCAACATCTGGTTGGTAAGTTGGTTCAACCTGTGTTGGCCGCAAACAGCGGCCAGCAGGATACATCAAAGGGTTCTACGCACAGGAGAATTTTATGTTTTGACTCTTCTGCAGAAGTTCAACCGGAAACTGCTAAAACAACAAGAACCACCTTACCTCCAGCTACAGATAAATCTACATCACGATCTGTCCAGCAGACTGAGAAAGATAATACACAGTCAAACACTCGAACAAAGCCCACTATCTTGGGTGGCAACAAGCCCAAGAGGAGAGTGCAGACTGTCCAATGCTCAGCAGATCCCCAGACTGTAGGAAGCTTTGGGAAGGAGGCAGGGAAGCCCATTCTTCCGCAACAGCACCAGAAAGATCCTGTCAAAAAGAGCTCTCGCAAACAAGATCATAGCATCCATAACCAAGAGTCTCAAAGTGCAGGTACCAGCAGGGTTGATGCCTCACAGCCTGAGACTTTGTTAGGAAAAGGAGAATCAGGAAGGAGATCAAAATCTATCGACAGGAAGCACAGTCATGATAAAGATGGTGATGGAGAAAAAGCTAAGGATTCTCATAGTTCTAGGTCTTTGTCCTCTGATTCTGCTCTGAAATCAGGCACTAGACAGGAGAAAGAGGAGAGTAGCAGGAAAGAACTTGCAGAAAAAGCTCCTGCCAAATCACGTGAGGGGCGTACAGAAAAGAGGACTCCCTCTCAGGAGGTGCCAAATGTGACGGCTAATAAGGAGAATGAAATGAAGGGTAGCATGAAAGAGCAGCAACAGCAATCAACACCGTCATCATCAGCATCAAGAGATTTTAGCCCTCCAGCTGCCACCCAGCCAACATCTAATCCTCAGTCCAAGGCTACTAAAGCCCCCTCAAAGACCAGCTCTCTGGCCAAACAGGCAGCTGAGATGCTGCATGACATCCAGGGGCTCCACTCACCTCCTGCCCCAGTCAAGAGGCCTGGAGCGGGCAGTTCAGACCTTAGTCTTCCCCGGACCCCTGGGTCTGGACGTAACCAGGAGGAGTCCGCTGACTCTCCCAGGACTCCTGCCCGACAGAAGAAGGGTAAAGATGGAGAGGGGACTCCCAAGCATCTAATGCCTCCCAACACCCCGGATGTCCCCACCTGCAGCCCAGCCAGTGAGGCCGGTAGCGAAAGCAGTATTAACATGGCTGCTCACACACTCATGATTCTTTCTCGTGCTGCCATCGCCAGGACAGGCACTCCACTGAAGGACAGTTTGCGTCAGGAGGGCGTAGGAGAGAAGTCGCCTGCAAGCTCAAAGAGCTCCAAGAAACGCAAACAGTCTTCTCCCGCAGCCAGCCCGCCTGCAAAGAAAGACCGGGTGAGTACAACACAAGCATTTGCCATTCAGTCAGCACGTGTTTAAAATGTATTACGGTGTTAATACTATCCCTCTTTTCTGTAATAATGTTCTATAACAATATTTCGTTTTCAGATGCAAGTAGAATTGCTGCAACTGACTTTTTTTTTTTTTTCTTTGATTAACCTTCTATAAATTGTCAGTAAATAGCCCAAAATGCCTGTTAGAATTTCGAAAAGCCCAAGGTGATGTCTTTAAATTGCGTATTTTGTCAGAAATGCAAAAATATTTACTTTACTATCAAATATGACAAAGAAAAGCTGCAAATCTTAGACAAATCGATCGATCGATTGATTAATCATTTCAGCTCTACCTGGATGTCTTGCTGGTGTAAGCAGACAGTACTTAAAACTCCCAGAGCCCTACAAGACTACCAACAGGGGGTGGGTGATCTGGCCATAAGATAATATCACAATCACAATCCATAATCTAAATTGCATTTTGGACTGCCCTGTAGACTATAGCCAGCCTTAAAATAGCTTTTGAATTTCTCCATTTGCATCTTTAAAACACAATACTGCATGGAAGATACTACACTGTTTTTAAAACGGTGATTAAAACTTGAGTTTAATTTGAAGTTTCAAACAGAAGCCAAAAGATAACATGATCATAAAATAACACTTTTCAAATACTCCCAACTTGTTTACTTGCCCTTCCCTCATTACCACCTCTAAGGTGCCCTTGAGCAAGGCACTTACACACAAGCACTCCGGTGGAGCTGCTCAGTAGCCAGCAGATCAGACTGTGGTTGTGCTGGGCAGCTTCCAGGTGTGTGAATGTGATCAAGACATTGCTCTCAGTGAAAACCCTCTAAATGAATAAAGGTGAAACAGTACATCACCCAAGGAAGAACAACATGAAGTCATTTTTCCAATCAGGTGATTAAGTTGAATCATGGTGATTTTATCGGCAGAACTTCCTTTTGGTATCACTACTTTTCTTTTATATATAATGTGTTTACGCAGAGACTGCATGTCTGATGAATAATTCAAGTAGATTACCCAAATGCTGTTAAATGAAGGGGAATTTTGTCACATATTTGTGTCATGTAATTTTGACTTTTGGTTTAAATCTACAGGAAAGGAAGAAACTTATTGATTGCTTTCCCCATGACTTGGATGTGGATAAGTTCCTGTCTTCACTTCACTATGATGAGTGAAACCAGACACATGGACAGGAAAGGACTACCATATTACAACCTGCTTAGGTTACGATCCAGGAATAGAACAAGCCATCTGCTAAATCGGTGCCTATGGTTCCTATTAGTAACCTTGCCTGAGACCTTTTAAGCTCTAATGACTCCTTCAGCCAATGAGGGACTTAGATTTGATTGTCTAATTTCCTGTGTGGGGGATCTGCATAGAATCCTGTTAGATGCAGCAGCAGTAGAGCAACCATTGCACTTTGTTGTATTCGTTTTTTACTCTCATGCTTACTTCTGTTTTAATCATCATTGTTTTGTACCACAACAAAACAAAACATTTTTTGGCAGGGCACTTAACGGTGCATGTTGTTAAAATGGGTGACTCAAAGTTTTTCCTTGGTCAATATTTGACTCTACTTTTGAATTTTAAATCAAGCTAACACTGACTCATAGGTTAGTTTGTAAGAAATACATTTTGGAACATGTCTACTAGTCATTTTAGGAACATGAATGAAGAACGATCATTGATTGAAGTCTGATTAATTAAAAGAGAAAGTAATGTGAACATTATATTTTGTGGCATATATGTGTATAGTTTATTGTTGGTAGAATCAGACACACTCAGTGTGAAAATGGCTGCACCTGTTCAAATTTGCATACTCAGGCGTTATTCATCATTGTAATAAAAGAAAGAAACTGTCTTGTGTGTTGTTTCTCCTTGTACACACATTGCCCCAGTTCCAATGTGCATCTTAAGCAGAGGCTTTATTTAACATCAACATGTGTGAATGTTTGGGGATGCAAGAGCCCAATATGTCCTATGAGGAATGTGACAACACTGGGGGGGGGGTTTCTGTGTCCAGGAAAGTGCAACGTTTATAGTCAGCTTCAATGTCAATTTTATATTATATATTTGTGTGTCTCATACAAGTTAAATGTATTTTGAGTGTTGCTCATTATCTGAAAATTATAATGGTGTCTATATATATATATATATATATATATATTCTGCAGCACTACAGATTCCCTTGAGGGTTCAAACTGAGAGAGCCTTCAAGCATGCCTTTTAATCTGGTGTCAGACAACTACATGACTCCAGCTACTGCCTCTCTAACTCTCATATCATGTTTCACAATCACTTCATGTTTTCAATCAATGTGGGATGTGGGATTTCCATTAAAGGGCAGACGTGTTATTACTATCTGGTAAAACAAAGTATCACAGTTTCAAGGTTAGAGTGTTGCGTTTGTCACGTTTTGTTGGCAAATCTGGCAACCTCCGATTGGACCAAAAACACACCATACGGAAATACGTCTTCATTCCAATTTCACAATAAAAGTATCTCGTTTATGAGTTGAACTGTATGAATTGAATCCGGGAAGGAGAAAATGCTATAGTTATGGTATGTGTCGCTTTCACGTGTATACAATTGATTGTCTTATCATGCCAGGTTAATAACAAACGTGTTTGAAGAAACTTGAACCGCAACACCGTTTTTACTCTGACACGTCCGACGTTTGTTTCCGGGTGAAGAGGACAGTAAAGAGGTACGACTCATTTAATTTTAACAAACATCGCTCTGTTCCCCCTCTATACAGCGTGTATTTTCTCACTAATACAACAGCACAACGGCACGGCACACTTTTACACACCTCCGCACAAGTAAGGCGACTCGTTATTGATTTAGAAAACATTTACTTTGATGTAACTTAAGAGACTGCCAGCGTCCCTAGCTTAGCCGTTAGCACGTCGGCTAACCGGTTAGCATGTGGAGGAGGATGATGATGATGATGTGATCTTTATTTGTCATCATATCTTATTACAGGCCGACGGTTATTCCTGTTAACTCTGTACGTTGTTGTTGCTAGGCAGCAGCTCATAATATAGCCATGGCCTTATTGTTCAGTGCGAAATGTTCTCGTGACAATAATCACAATGAGATTTAAATATCAGCCGGCGTGTTGACGACATGTTCGCTGTGACAGTCTGATGTTTTATTGATTAACAGCCGCTGATAAGGTTGTCAGGACTGGTCCGAGTCCCACAGTGTCTGTCCTACTCTCTTAGATAAGTAGGAAGAGAAACAAGAGCAGGGGAGGACGCTGCTGAGCGACTTGTCATTTTCTTTCGTCCTAGACCGCCTGACCTGCTACAACCTTGATTGACATGGCAGCCAATGGAGCAAGCTGTGAACAGCCTCAGAAACGTGCAGGGGCTAAAGACAGACAGAATGGCAAGTCTATAGGTGAGTTTTCTTCAACTTGTAACTTCTTAAAGTGTGTAGCAACACTCCTGCGAGAAGTGTGCCTGTAAAGTTGTGTAACACCTGATGGCAGAGAGTGATAACTACCACCACATGTCGTAAAAAAAAAAACCCTCAAGCTGATTCATTTTAGGTCACTTTCGGTTTTCAAGATGTGCCAGGAGCTTAACTAAAGCAGAGTAAGGGGCAGAACCAGACTTGTTTATGTCACATGTGTCATGTATTCAGCGTTGCCCGTTCAACAGGATGCTATAATTGATGTAGATGCAAGCGTTACAGTATGTGAGGGGGATTGCAATTCTGTTTCTTCTCCAGACTCCTCAGTAAGAGAGAGGCGACAGAAAGATAAGGAGGACCGCCTGTCACTGGTGGTATGGAGGAGGCCGGTCACCACGCTACATTATTTCCTCCTGGAGACCCTCATCAAGCTAAAGGAGTGGACGTTTAAGTAAGAAGTCAAACAGGTTTTTCTAGTTTGTGCTCACATGTTCTTGTGACCTTTTGTCCGGTTTGTTTTGCTGGCGACTCAGTAAAGCAGACGCTACCCGTTGACCTTAGCAATTATAACAAGTCATTTCTCTGTCCCTAAGATGCTGAAGTTGTTGTATCGTCGAGGACACACAGTCATTGATAGATTGAAGACGTCTACATTTGTGGGGAAACTTTCCGTGATCAAAACTCACTAGGGATTCCCTTTTTATATAAAGAGCTAAAGAGCTGAGCATTTGAGTTGCCAGGTCACTCTAATAATAATTAACAGAGGAAACATCGGGGGGGGGGTTGTGTTTCTTTTTGTTATGTTTTGTTTGTATGTCTGGAATTTCTCCATTGTTAACATTGTTTTTTGTTTTGCCTTCCTGTTCAGGCTTTGGCAACGACGAGGCGCAGTGTTCTTAGTTTTGGTGTTATGTTCTATGTTCTCCATCGCCTACTCCACTGAGGGAGGACACCAACAAGTAAGGCTTTACTGATTAGGTTTTTTTTTTAGTGATGTTAATAATCAACACCATTGCTCCATCACCAGCCTGTTTAAAGGTTAATGATAAGTCACTCTTTCGCCACCTAAAAACCTTCCCAGAGGAAAGCTCATGTTGGGAGATAATGAAGTCCGCGCTGTTGTCAAGCAACCCTTGATCATACGATCAGTTGGCAAAAAGTTTTGTTTACAAATTCCTCTGTGCAGTGGTCTGTTACAGTTCAGTTAAGCATCACCGGTCTTCAATACAGAATTAACATCTTTCCTGATTGCTAACTTTTGTAATGATGAACTACAGTATACAATGAGATTATACACACATTGGAGAAGAAAAAGTTACTCAAATCTTTCGCTCTAAAAACAGCTGATAAAAGTTGTTCTTTTGATAAATCGTGTCATTACTACAACTGAGAAAGAGCTCTTAAGGAAACAGCTTATTAAAAATGAGCTCCATTAAACATTATATCCTAAACAGACAAGAAAACTCTAATTATCAGTAGTTAATAATTGCCTTTTTTTAAAAAGTCTTCCGCCTTCTAATCTGTTTTATTTCTCCACTGAAGTATGTTGAGTACCTTGAGAAGAAGTTCCTATGGTGTGCCTACTGGGTAGGCCTTGGGATCCTGTCCTCTGTAGGCCTCGGGACTGGCCTGCACACCTTCCTCCTCTATCTGGTAAGAGAACAAGTTTGCAGAAACATGCAGATTATTTCTAGGTTTAACAAACACAGTGAAAATACACGTTTATATTTAAGAATATTCAAACATTCAGTCAGGAGAAAGCCACCTCACTCTGAGGGCAGCTGTAGTGCTGAGCTATATATACTATACTATATAGTATAGAGTGAAGTAATATTCAAAGTGAGGGAAAAGAAAAAACTAACACATCTTTGTAAAAGTTGAAGTTACCTATTTTGCTTACTATAAATAACTTTAGCTCAACTTGATGCTGATGTAAATGTTTCTCCACTTGAGTGCCTTGAAATGTAATTTGAA